GCCATGTCGTGAAGGAGCTGTGTGCTTCGTTGTGAAAGCGAAACTATTTTGTTTGGTCTTCCAAAAGAAGACAATATCCACTTTGTCATGCCTAGAGCTGATCTGTGCTGGTCGCTGAGGGAATACATCAACTTTCACCGTGGACGAAGCGGAGTCCAGCCCGTCACATGCGGTTGCCGCTCATCCGTCGGGCGCGCCGTTCTCGACCCCGCCGCCTCAGCGCACGCTAAGCCGGGGCTTCGGCTCACGCTAGCCCGGCTTCCCCTCACACTAGGCCACTGTTTTTCATCAACAGTATGGTAGGGGCGTAACATTTCCGTCTCACGCTTGAGGTATTCGGCCAATCACAACGCATTGGATAGCTGGCCAATCACAGCACACCTCACTTTTTCAGACCGATGAGCTTTGTAAAAATCGACGCGTTTCAAAAAGGCGGGCCATAGAGAAGAAACAATAATGTACAGTATGTGGAAAATAATGTTTTTTTGAACTTTAAACCGCATAAACACATTTCATTACACCAAATACACAAAATAATGTTCTTTTTAGCAACATGATATGACCCCTTTAAAGTAATCTTAACATACTTTAAAACGTTTTTTTTAAAGTAGGATTATAATAGTTTTTTTTCCCTCTCTCAGTCACGCCCAATGATTCTTTGGTGCGACGCTCCATCAGTCAGCAGAAATCAGGTGTGTCCATAACTATTGATGACCCTATACGGACGGGTCGCCAGCTCTCTCCTCCTCGTGGAAAAACCTCCCACATCATACACGTCTGCAACCTGGTAATCACTAGATCACGTTGTTCATTTCACTACTCACTGTAATTGAATTGAATTTGAATCTAAAATAAGTTGACCATATGAATATTGCGCTTACCTGTTTTGTGTTTTAAGATTGAGCCTGGAGGTTTTGTTGCTCATTTGACCCCTGATTTGAACTTTCTCTGTAGGTGCGACCTTTCACCTTAGGGCAGCTGAAGGAGTTGTTAAATCGGACGGGTACGTTGATGGAGGAGGGTTTCTGGATCGACAAGATCAAATCTCACTGCTATGTCACAGTAAGATTTTATTATTATTTATATTTTCATTGCACTAAAGTTCAAAAGTTTGGAATCAGTAAGATTTTGTTTTTGAAAGAAATGACAGGAATCAGTTAAATAGCTTTTTTAATTAAATGTTTTTTCTGTATGTGTGATTAAATGCAGTTTTGGTGAGCATAAGAGGCTTCAATTAAAAAATCTTATTGACCACAAACTTTTCAGCAGTAGTGTATGTTATTTATTCTGTATCGTTTATTCTTATGATATCTCATAATTCATTAGTGATACTATATTGCGCCACCCTGATGCCTTTAGTTTCTTTTAACCTCCAATCTGTCATGTTCTCTCAGTACTCCACTATAGAGGAAGCTGTGGCCACTCGAGAAGCACTGCATGGTGTGAAATGGCCCACAAGTAATCCCAAAGTACTACGTGTGGATTTTTGTGAGCAATATGAGGTCTGAACAGTTTGCCTATATCTGTTTCTACTGCTTTCTTTCCTGTTCCTGTCATTATTGTAGTCATTCTCATCCTCTCTTATTATAATCAAACTTTTCACCCTTCTCATTTTGTTGTATTTTGTTCTGTCTCCAGTTGGACTTCCATAAAGGTCTCGTGTCCAGTGAGCGTGCAGGTGTAGGTCATGACCCTCACGCCTCAGGAACCTCAGCCCGCCCTGCCACCCATCACCCACTGCCACCTGCAAACCACGAAAAAGAGAAGGAACGAGAACGAGCGCGAGACGGAGGAGCTACAGCCGTTAGAGACCAGTGGGCAGAGAGGGAAAGAGCGATGGAGAGGAGAGAGAGGACTCGTTCTGAGCGGGAGTGGGACCGGGATAAAGTCAAGGACTTTGGGAAGGATGACGGAGACAGAACGAGGAAGTCGCGATCACGGGACCGAAGACGCAGAGAGAGAGGCAAGAGCAAAGAGAAGAGAATGGAGAAGAAAGGTGAGGAAAACTACATCTTGTGAAATGTTTAATGACATCACATATTCTTCTATTTTGGCTTAATTTGACGTTGTCTCCCTCTTTGATTTCCAGATAAACCAGAAGAGCCTCCTGTAAAACTTCTTGATGACCTGTTCCACAAAACTAAAGCAGCTCCCTGTATATACTGGTTACCCCTCACAGAAGAACAGGTCAGCATGACTTCCTCTAGCCTAAATCACACAGACCCCTCTTTTTTTCCCTCCTTAATTTAAGTCTTCGCTTTTTTTTTTCCCCCCCAGGCGACACAAAGAGCTCTGGAGCGTGTCCAGATAAACCAGAAGAGCCTCCTGTAAAACTTCTTGATGACCTGTTCCACAAAACTAAAGCAGCTCCCTGTATATACTGGTTACCCCTCACAGAAGAACAGGTCAGCATGACTTCCTCTAGCCTAAATCACACAGACCCCTCTTTTTTTCCCTCCTTAATTTAAGTCTTCGCTTTTTTTTTCCCCCCCAGGCGACACAAAGAGCTCTGGAGCGTGCTGAGCGCATAAAGGAGCGAGAGAAGAGGAGGAAGGAACTTCAGGAGGAAGAGGACAAAAAACAAGAAGAACGGAGAGAGCGAGCAAAAGGCCGTGACAGAGAGGGAGGGAACGCAGGAGGAGCAGGTGTTGTGAGACCTTCAACTGAGGGAGAGCGAGACAGAGGGAAGGAAAGAGAGAGAGAGAGGGGCAGGGAGGCAGAAAATAGGAGAGATGGCCACAGAGGCCGCGGTAGCGACTCCAAAACCGCAGGGGGCAGCAGACGCTCACAGAGCCGTAGCATCTCCTCCAGAGACAGACGACACTGAGTGCAGAGCGAGTGGATGTGTGTGAGAGAGAGGGGTTTGTAAGATCAGAGTCGTCAGCATGATGATAAATGCCTGATAGATGATAGATCACCCAAGAAATTAACGTTTTGTCATCTGTTCTCCCTCATGTCATTCCTAACTTGTTTTTACTGAAAACAAAAGGTTTCAGCTTTTTCATCCATACAAGGAAATCAAAACAACACTGGATCTCATTGACTTTATTTGTATTGGTGGAAAAAATGTTTATCTGAAAAAAGGCAAAAAAAATATTTACCCATTGCTTGTTCCTAGGTTTGGAACGACACGAGGGTGAATAAATGATGACCATTTTGGTTTGAGTGAACTGTCCCTTTAACATTTCTTCTTCCTTGTAATAATGTCATCAGTGTTTCACTGCTGTGCACATCTGCACACGTCTCAGTCACTCACCACTGTTTTAGATCAAACTGTCAAAAAAAAAAGTTTGTCTTATAAATCTCAAATGAAACGGGACTAACATAATGAAGGCACTGTTGAATGTTTATTTTCAAAGTTCAAAATAATCTTATGGGGATGTGTGCTGTCTAAAGCTCACAAACTCCAAAGTCAAAAGAAACCATATGAGACTATATAAATCATATTTTCCTTTTTGCCACCTTGGAGTCTTCATGTTTTATTTATAGTTTAACTAGTGCCACTTCAGGCTAGCGGGTCATTAATTCAGTGTGTAATTACGGGGCTTGAAATGTTTTGGCATTCAAATGATAGTTTTATATAGTGGTTTCTTTTTATCCACTGTATCCAGATTCAATTAATTGAACAATTTGGAGATATATGAAGTCCCCTATCCAGATGTTTGGCCACCGTTGAGTTAAAGAGCCAGTCCTGCTGTCGACACTGATCTCACTGAAGGTTTTTTTTTTTTTTTTTGGTAAGATTATTAAAATGCCTACTGGAATCCAATGCTATGAACCACACTGTAGATTAATTTGCTAGATTTTCATCTGTTCTCTTACTCTTTCCCCCCCCAAGGTATAAATTTAACCTTTATAGAGAAGATAGCAAGAGACCTTTTAATATTATTTTAATGTTGTAGTTTTGAAGATATATTTCAAACGATTCTCTTTTTGGATTATTTTCTTTATGAATGTGCAGAATGTACAAAGAATAATAAAACAAAATGAAGGAAACTTTCCTTTTTTGTGTTTCGTGCTTGCTTTAAATGCTAAGAATAATTACAACAATAACTAGCAGCAGTTGGAGTAAATGCAACATTGATTTGACGGAAGATTGTGTATTAAAGACATGTTGAGGGTCGTGAAAGTAGCTCTTTCTGTAGCACTTTTTTGAAGTTTTCACAAGCTTAAACTGATTAAATGTGTACTGTGAGTGTATATACACACACATTATGTCTGTTCGAGAATGATTTTATAAGTCGTAATCAAAAAACAAGTCGTCAGTATTCGATTTCTCAATAGAATGTGAATTATACAAGAAACGAACACTTCGACACCGGTCTCACTGAAGGTTTTTTTTTTTTTTTTGGTAAGATTATTAAAATGCCTACTGGAATCCAATGCTATGAACCACACTGTAGATTAATTTGCTAGATTTTCATCTGTTCTCTTACTCTTTCCCCCCCCAAGGTATAAATTTAACCTTTATAGAGAAGATAGCAAGAGACCTTTTAATATTATTTTAATGTTGTAGTTTTGAAGATATATTTCAAACGATTCTCTTTTTGGATTATTTTCTTTATGAATGTGCAGAATGTACAAAGAATAATAAAACAAAATGAAGGAAACGTTCCTTTTTTGTGTTTCGTGCTTGCTTTAAATGCTAAGAATAATTACAACAATAACTAGCAGCATTTGGAGTAAATGCAACACTGATTTGACGGAAGATTGTGTATTAAAGACATGTTGAGGGTCGTGAAAGATTCTGTAGCACTTTTTTGAAGTTTTCACAAGCTTAAACTGATTAAATGTGTACTGTGAGTGTATATACACACACATTATGTCTGTTCAGAATGATTTTATAAGTCGTAATAGGTGCGTTCTCATAAAAACAAGTCGTCAGTATTCGATTTCTCAATAGAATGTGAATTATACAAGAAACGAACACTAATTCATACACGGAAAGATTTATTAAAACAGATACAGGAATGTTTTTAATCTTTTTGCAATCACTTTATAAAAAAAAAAATCTCTTAATAGGTAAACATGTTTAAGTGCAAAATCTCTGCTAGTGATATTAAATATAGAAAAATGTTAAGCAATAAAAATATATATATCCCTTGTTTTCTTTTCCTCCTACAGCAAACAGTAGATATGGGAGGAAAACTTTTCTGTGATAATTCAACTCCCTCTAGCAATGAAATAAGCAGGCAACAATAATCTTAAACTCAGAGGAACATGTAAAGAAATATTCTGTTCAGCAGGATTCAGTTGCTGCATTTCCCAGCCACTAGGGGACATATAGTTTGTACCAGGACTGGGATTTGCATTTGAAATGTATTATGACCTCAAGTCTCCGTAAGAGAAATCGTGTTTTCTCCCCTCTTGCTATCTTCAAGAAAATAGAGCTGGCATAGAAGAGAGAGACATTAGAAAGACAATTTACAGTGGTCACTAGTGTGCATATGAGAGTACAAAGTAGTTGGTCAGGCACATTAGTTCTCATTTCAGTGTGTGTTGTGAGGGGGAAGGTTATTTGTGACGCACACTCTGGTCATGTGGCAAGAGTGGCAGAGGAGGTGGGAATCCAGAGGGAAGCACTGAGATCCAGGCTCATCGGAGAGCTGCTTCCCACACTCCTGAAGAAGAGGACGAGATGATTGTGGTCATTACAAGCCTGTGCCATAACATGTAGATATGCGCTTGTCTGATATGCTGCCAAATGATGACAATCATCTTATCCAAACTACTCTCCATAATACCCACCTCACAGTGATAACACTCAAAGTGATAATCTTTGTTCATTGACACCACCCTGAGGATCTCCTCACTGCCCTGAAACACACACACAAGTACCATCAAAATCTTTCTCCTAAATTGATCTGAAAGCTATGGAAGCCCGTTTCCGCCACTAAATAAAAAAA